TTTATTTCAGTTGCTGTTGCCTTTGCTCGTTCTTGTTGTATACATTGGACTTTCCTACTTTGGTAACCATCTGCCAAGATTGCCACTGGACAGAGTGAAATATGACTGAATAACAATAAACCATCCGGATAGCTGCAGATTAAAACAAGGCCTGCCATTACGGAAACTAAAGATGGAGCGTGAAGGCCGGGTGACCAGGAAGAGCTAAAAGTGCGCTGTGATTCTGCATAGCCAATCGGAAATGATGGGCGAAGGTGCTATAGGAGGGTCTTGAGGCAACTATCTCCACAGATGCCGAATTTAGACGAAGTGCTGAATACAACAGGAAACAAGTAACGACCAGTTGCCATGTACACAACTGAGGTTAGAAGTAGTACAAATAAAACCGTTGAATTAACGGGCAGCTCATTGATGTGGCAGCAGCAAAGCTCTTGTTGTAAAGCTCTCGTAAAAAGGATAGTAGCACGTCAAGTAGTACACAAGCTACTTTTTCTAACAGTCAAGGCTAAGGCCGATTTCAACAGAAATGGACTTTTCCTTAAGCAGGATCCCTTTTATGCCACGTTCTAGAGTTCTGCACTTGTCTTATCCCATGAGAGTCTGAATCAGCGAAGTCCCTCGGTCAAACCCACTGAGCTCTCTATATGTTCAAAGACGCCCATGGACTAACAGCGCTGATAAACACTTCCTTTAAAATACGAGTTTCATTTCAGTTCCCCCTAGGTTTACTCCCGGAGGTAAGTCACTAAGTTACCACTATAGTAAAGTTAAGTGAAAACACGAAGTTTGAGAGAAGGGATGGGTTCCACGAAGAAAGTGGGTGGGTGTTGTGGAAACGCCGTGTTCCAGAAGCAATAACAATGGCACCGATGACGCAGCGTTACACTCTCTTCGACAGGATTTTGGCCCCTCCAAGTGAAGGCGCCAGGTGTCCGCCCATGGCCTTCAGCAGACTGTCATGCGTACAATCGTATTCGTCGTCTCCATTCTCTCAGGTAAACCTTCTTGATATTTCACAAGTTTTTTCCAAAACCTCAAAGAATCCTGTTCCACGTGCTTTCATTCAGACGACTTTCACTTTCTTTTTTTTCTCACCCCTTTTCGCGACCTTCTCGCTTTCATCTCACCTGAAGAAAACAACCTTTACCACACCATTTGACATTCGAGTATAGCATTATTGATCTCTGAGCACTCCTACAGAGTAATCGCATCTTAATAAGAGAAATCAATTCTAACTGACGAGATGCAAAGAGCTAAGTCCACGATTGAATCAACATTAATTTTTTTACGATCAATACAAGTGCTATGCGAACCCATTGATCCCTGACTTGCTGCAGGCTTCCCTAGAAGCAATATAGGAAGGTGTGCTAATCCATGCCATACAAATTCAGGCATAAAAATGCACATACATTGGGGCGTGATTGGTGCAATGGCAAAAAGCGCCGCTTCCCGTGCGATGCCATAGTCGAGCCACGAATTGGCTCCGATCGGTCAGTCAAGTCTCGCATCCCTGCAAAAATTGCAATGAAAGCGTAAACTACAAGACTTAGTAGAACGCTAGGAGCGTCGCCGTGCAGATGGTGGCGTGCAGCGTGTCTGCGCCGCAGTTGGATTAGCGCAGTATGGAAGAATTAGCCCATCGGTTCTGGATCCCATGCTGCCCGCTACGCTTCGACAGCTGGGGCTCGTTATCTATCCCCGGACATGCCAGGAATCTTAAGAGCTTAGGGACGCTTTGCCTATTTCTTGCGCCCTCCAGAAAGTCGGTATAACTATTGATTTTTGTAGTTCATCGTGAAAAGGCATTTTCCTGTGTTTTTTTTTGTCCATCTCAATGTCACTTTAATCAATTTTTGATACTATGTGATTCACTGACTTAACATTATTGCTGCAGTTTCCTTGAGAAGAACAAAAACAATAAAACGGCTGCATATTTCGTGAAAGGTGAACGTGAAGGTCCCTTTCTAAAAACCAGTTTCACGTCCCCTCGGACAACTTTTTAGATTCTCTATGCATGTTTCGAGGGAACCTGATTTGAGCTTTGAGTAGCGCAAATAAATATTTTATTAATGCTGAGGAAGTGTTCAGCAGATGACAAAAGAGCTATAATAACACTGCCCTACATATGCTCTTCACCCAATGCGGGAATTATCTGGAGCCTCACCATTTCCTAAATGTGACGTTTTTGGCTCAACTTTTACTTATTTTATATGAAAGTTTCCTCGCCATCGGAAGAGCAGAGTATAATTGATCTTTGAGTAGTTTGATAGTTTGATACATGAATATCTCCTGCACCATTCTTCTCTGCATTCCACTGTAAGGGAGGGAGACGAATTTTCTCCCAGAAAAACGGTTACATTCGTTGTTCGAGTAGGTGCGAGGAGGGACATTTACTGGTCTCATCAACGTGAAAGCTGTCAGTCCCTGTCAGGGCGCGTCATACGTTAAGGAATCCCAGCGAGGGGGTTGTATTTGGTAGCTGGAGAGCGTTAAGCTGTGCTTGAGAAAAACGTTTTCGGGTGCAGACCTCCTATCCCTCGGCCCCTCCCATTCTTGAATGGCATTTTTTTCGGGGAAAAGTGGAGGAGTTTTTGGGAAAAGAAGGAGGAATTTGGGGAAATCAGCAAATGATGGGATGCTGGGTAAGATGGGGTGATGGGGAAGGGCGGGGGAGGGGGTCGTGCCAGAGGAGGAAGTGGGAATGTCGCATTCCGCAGCAGATTCCCAACCGCAGGACGTGGCCGTTCCCTGTGAAGCTATGATGGCACTCTCTCAAGCAAGAACAGGCCATTCTGTGAAGGCCTGTGTTAATTCAGTCCTACACCAAAGCAACTCATGCTTAGCGAAGATCAATACTTTGCAATTCTACAAAACGTTTACAAGTTTCACCTATTAAAGAAATTTATGAGTTAGAGAATTGCCTTCTCCCCTCGCCCTCGACGCATACAAAGCTGGGGCGGACAGCGCTTTAAAGTCTCTAACAATGAACGTGATAGGAAGACATATCATTATTGGGGAATCCCTCGACAAAAAGGTGCTAGATTAGGAATAGTATACGGCTGCATAAGAATATTCTTGTCGTTGTGTCAATTAAGGTACATTGCATACCCATCTTCGCCCCTAGCCGATAACATTGCAGTATCACGGTTCGTGGGTGTGTGGCAAGAGAATCGTAGTGTCGCACGCGCCAGTAGGCGTCGCGTGCGACGTCGCGCCTGCTAATGATGACGATTTGTGTGGTATTGGTCGAGAGTAGACAAAGTACGACCAAAAATATACATAAGTGTCTACCATGTCCTTGTCAACGCGAAATCCGATGTTCCAATCGAACGGGTGGTGCAAAGCATCAAATTATCTTAGCGGTGTCCAAATGGTGTTTTTGCTTTTGTTTTTATTTCCTACTCGACAAAGTCTAAACCTACCATTATCTGCAACACAGTCATGACCCTTGCAAACGATAGGGTGTGTGGGGGGTGTGACTCCCTCCTATGGCCAGAACAACCAATCCGGTCAACTGTTGCGGACTCACATTGATGGGGAAGCCACTCCAATCCAAGCCCTGTCACGCGTCTTACCGCTTGCTGGAATCATGGCAGTACATAGCGCCATTGCATAAGAAACCTCTCAATGCCTCTTTGATGAAACTGTAAGGGCTTCTGCTCTAGTGAGAATTACCGCTGGACCTGAGGTTAGGCAGAGAACTAGATGGTAGTTTAGTTATGCGTTGCCAAAGCTTCCAAGTGAGCAGGCAAACAAAGATTTTTTTCTGAATTTCAAGAGCCACTGAGCTTCCGCAATGCTTATTCCTTGTGCACAACTTCTGTAGCGCTCCAGCATGGGCCTAAGACGTCTCCTTCTGAATAAAGAGTATTGTCTCTTGAAGCTCTCGGCTCGCAAAATTTTAGCAGCTCGTTGGTTCTGTATACGTGTGCCCTCCCTTCTCATTGTTACATTGTTGGATAGCCTTTCAGAGTTGCGAAGGGAAACAAGAAGAACATAGCACTCTCAGTTAACGTCCGGTGCTTGTGCGAATGTAGCATATGTGGCGTCAAATCTCCAAGTTTCCAGACCTTCCTGAGTGAATCAACTGTTTTGAATGACAGAAAAATGATTAGTGCTTTGATGATTTTGTGCGACACTAGAAAATTGCAATCGAAGGTGATAAAAAACTCAGTGCCTTGATTTCTTCGAATCAGGTAAGCCTTTGTGGAGTAGGCACAGTGGACGGTGTGCCTTGGTTTGAAAGACCATTAACTCTTCTTTGGAATTATAAATCGTTTGTGCAACTTGTCGATCAGGGAATCCTGTCATGTATTCTTGAGAAAAAAACCAGTTTCTCCAAGAGCACACTGAAAATCTAAAGTAACAACTACAGAAACCAGCGAGCAAATCAGCTGAGTAGCGGGTCAGGATCGCCGGTCACATGTATCCCCGCTCGGTAATTTTTCCGGCTCCAATAATCCTGGGACTACACATTTATAGGAACTCCTGCAAAACTAGTATTACCACACAGAGGCAAGGATTTCTGCCTCTGTCTGAGAGGAGATCCTTGGTAGAACAACCAGTATCAAAAGCAGTGATCTCATCCTTACTAGAAGAATCACAGTTTTATAGGAGGTCTTCCAAAGGCTCTCGCGCGAAGTTTTTGTTGTTTTTGTTCCAAATTTCTCTGTCGGAATGATGTGCCCTACTGAGAGAATATGTGGTGCAGGCAACATGAACTCGTCATGAATGAATATTCATGATTTTAGTTTTATTTTTTATTATTTGTCCTATCCTTTTATTTGCTTTTCACTAAATAGGGAAACCTATTTTACCTAGATTTCATAAGCTGGTTTCTTTCTTTTGAGGGAATCCAACTCATTCGTAAATTCTCATTATTTTGAGAAGAACCGTTTCTACTGTCATCCTCGGTACTCTATCTCGTTTTTTCAGCAGTGGAGGCGCAGATAAATCTCGGCCAGTTTTCATTGCTACCTCGACCGGACGGAGGTTTCAACATGGGCATGAGCCAAGGTGCGAATATACTCGGCTTTGGAGCGCACCGTGCCCTCGGACTTACCGGCAATGCCGCAGGCATTGGATTGAGTGGTATGCTTTCCAAATCTTTCACCTTGAGGTTCAACTTAAGAATTCAATGGAATCAGGGCACGTTATCAGTTGTGTTGTGTCAAACGCAACGAGAGGGGTGAGAATTCTGTCACGAGAAGTTTTTCCTATCGTTGATTTTTCCCGTTTCATGCGCACTATCCCATCCTCCTTCCATTGCTGGCGGCGCATCGAAGGTACTACTTCTGAGCAGGGCACACATCGTTGTTGCGGACTCCAACAGGGGGGGGGGGGTCGTATTTGGCCGCCAGGAGAGAGGGGGGTCGTATTTACTTTCTGGCCTTTCTAGGATTGACTTTTCGTGATTTTCCTGTTTTATGCGTACTATGTATATACTCTCCCCCTCACAGTCCCCCCCTGGACTAAAATCTGCCGCAACCAATGATGTGCCCTGCTTTTAAGTATTTACTAGTCGACCGGAGCTGCATGTTCCGTTCCCAGCCGAATCGTTCAAAAATTTGAAGGATCAGGTAAGATGGTGACATTAGATTCCCCCTCCCCCTCCCAGTCACGGCGCGACCCTGCTTGCTCGAAACAAAGTCCTAGGGAGTAGTAGGCGTTGGGAGCTGACTTTAACTTAATACTAAAAACTTTGTAGAAATTGTGTGCCCTGATTGAAACTCATGACAGGAACGAACAACGCGATAGTAGCCAATGAGAGAGTTGGGGTCGATTCTGGCCTGAGTGCAGGAAGGAATGGTGTCGATCTTGGGAAGCCTGTTACAGGTGAGAAAGCAGCACTGTTGATCTTCCTCAGTTTCAGATTAAACTGAGTACTTTAGTTTGGCAACAATCCCTTCCCAATGAATCCCGGCGGTCAACTTGGAAACTTTCTCGACAACGTTAAGAGGTTCTTTCGAATCTTTAGGTGAGTTATTGATGAGGAATGTCTCTCTGAAATGTATAATGGGGAATAGCTTGATGATATCTTCCTCACAGAACTATAACAGGTTTTCTTATAAAACTTAAATGATTTAGTTCCTTCACCTCGAGCATTCCCACCACAGCTACCACCACCTCGACCACCGCCACCTCCTTCAGGTCTGGGACCGTCAGGATGGCAAACTGGAGTGGAGTCGCCTTCTCGTCCACATAGAATCGGAACAGAAGGAGGATTTAGCACAGGTATGTCCATCTTCGAGACGCTAAGCAGAAAAAGTTGTGTAAAGATGCCTCACAAAAACGTTTGTTTAATAAGCTCGTTTGTACTTGGCTTGTTGCATACATCGTCACGGGCAAGAGTAGTTGAGGGACAGAGGCACATAGCGGCGCGACTACGCCAAACCATGTTTTGCCACTTCTTTTAGAAGCCTTTGTAGGTTACACGTGCCACTTCCCTTTCGACGAAAGAGTGCAGATACACTCGATATCCCTCAGATGTGGTAGGCGTGGCTGCGTACTTCAACTAAACGCGGTGGTAGTTCGTGATTTAAAAGACGTCTTCATTTCGACACAACTGTGATCATGTCTATGTCCAACACAGGAAAAAAAGACAGTTGCCTTGACTGAAACATACCATTATGTGCCATGTTCAAATGCCACGCCTACTCCGTCTTAGGGATAAGGAGTGTAAGCAGATACGTCGCCTTGTTGCGTGTCACACCCCCCTCCCCCAACTATCCGATGCCCTTGACTGAGATATGTATAAGGCTCATAGTTACCAGTATATCTTTGTTGTACTTTTGTTTACTTCCTGAAATGGCGCTAACATAGTTAGAAGGAGCGAGGCGCCCGCCGTGTCCAAAAAAGCTTAGGCTTGGAGCGCAGGCGACCAGAGTCGTCGAGGGATACTTCTGCAGAGAAGACATAAAGCCTGATCCTTGTCTTGAGGGAAAGTTACGGAATCACCGGTGTGTGTTAACTATTTTAGAGACCCTTAAATCCCTGAAAACAGTGGAAATCAGAAAATTCAAAAATTCGTGATTCAATATTTCTTTGCTAGAATCCAAACCCATTGATTTCGTCGTCGTTCCATCATCCCATTTTAGTGATAGCTGTGAAACATCCTTGAACTGCACCAAGGTCGGGATTCGGTGTTCACCAGGTGTTACATCGATTTCAAATCGGATTTTACGTAACAAAAACCTCGTGATCGCCTTGTTCGACGCTTCTTTTTGTGACGCAACTTTTGTGTACTCTGGCGAAAGTGTCCTTGACAAGAACGAGAACTGTCGCTAAACCTCATAAGCATTGGTGCATGACGAACGATTCATTCAGCTTTTGTGGCCGGTTCCGGCGACCTATGCGCATAAGTGGTCAGTATCCACACCTCTTCAGGGATCGAGATATCCCCGCTAAGGATAATCGTGGCTGGGATTATTTCCCGCGTTGGCTATATGAACCCTAACTAGCTAACTGACTAATCAAGAGTTATTCTTATTAGTCACACTTCCAGAAGCTATGCCCTCGACAATTTCTTCCCCCTTACTGGATCAAGTTCATAGTAAGGGTGCTTGGTGAGCCACGCACTCTACCTCCACTCGCATTCCTTGAGGCATTTCAAGTCATGGTGGT